TAATGTAAAAAAATTATTTAAATTATTCTTCTTTACATTCTAGATTTTCACTGACATCAAACTGCTCATAACATTATGATAACAAACTGCTCATAACCTTCATGGTAACAGGTTATTTTAGGATATCAGTTTTAAGTTTTTAAACAATATTTTATGAGTCATAATGAAAAATACCTTTCACATAATATTAGAAAGCACGTTCTTCCATTAGTGCTCATCTTCCTTTGTTGCCTTGAACTCATGGATAAAAGAACCATGGGAAGCAGCAGAACATAAAAACCATTAAGAGTCCTCCAAGTATGTTACTGTACTCATTCAATTTTCTGGATAACAGTTTTATTTATTTGGATTTTCTAACTTTTGCTTTAGCCTCAAATAGTTATTACATACTAAATATTAAATATCCCTGTAGAATTGTATGGTTGTTAGACTCCATTTTGTGATTTTTTATCTTCCTAGACAAATCCTGAACTGTTTTAACAGTTTAAATCCTCTGATGGAGCCGTTCTATGACATGTTATTATTGCCTAGGACTTTCTGACTACGGATGTCCAGCCTACTCCGTCAGCTAGTGACCTCTGGGTATGTGATGAATATTATAAATTCATGCTAAATGTGTGCAACAAGAGGTGGGCATTCACAGAATGACATATAAATAAATGCATACATGTCATGAAAGTTTCACAAAACTACCTGTATCCTGCATCTTACTATTATTCAACAATGTGTCATAAATTATTGCTTTGAAGATATATCTATTATAGTAAAACCTCTGTTAAGATACCCTGTTGTTTTCAGATCTGAAATCAGGGAAAAATAAATAAATTAGTTGCTTAATACTGAGATGCTGGTACACAGGGAGCTGTTAGAATTTGTGACAAAGTAGACCAGTGCTACATTTCTAGCAAATTAAAAAATCCCTACTAAAATTATTTTAGAGTGGCTGAACAAGATATACAAGATTAAGCCTGGAACTCCAAATGCCAAGATTTAATTAATGAGAATATCCTCTCTCTCCTTTTCTTCTGCTGCATGAAAGTAAGAGGACGAAAGAATTATTTTCATTGTTTTATGAGGGCCTCTTTCAGATATGGCAGTAAAACACAGAGGAAAACTCACTCCTAGTTTCTGTCTAAGTTACTATTATAAAAACCCACAATAACATTATGGCTTTGCAATGGTCACAGTAAGAAAAGACATTTTTGTTTTCTTATTGTCATAATTCGTAAAATTGTATGCATTGGCTACATGCAGAGGCTTTACAGGTCCACTGAAGTTGGAACTGAGCCTTGTCTTATTAACAGAAACTTCATGAGATACTTCAGTCACAGCACTGCAGATCAAGAGGACAAATTCCCCTGAGCCCTCAAATTCAGGACCCTGCCAGAGTGTTCACTGAGATCTATTTGCTAGTGCTTTGATCCATGCCAAGCACCTCAGATGTAAGGCTACGGAAAAGGATCAAGACACAATGAAACCGGGTCTTAGTGAAAATGTGGCGATTTTCAATATTGCTTTAATCAGTGATACCAAAGATGCCTTGCCTACTGAAGAAATGCTGATTGAACCACATATTTTCAAACCATTTTATTAAAAAAATAATAGTTACAGCTTCCTCTTTTGACCTAGTTCCTTGTATTGTTCAACACTTCAGCACTTTCAGAAACACAGTCATCCACTGTATCCTTGTCACATCTTTTGTAAAATGCAACACTTCAAAAAAGGAAAAATACTTTTATCCATTTTCCTAAGCCATTTATCATATTCAAAATTGTGAAAATCTTCAGAGGTTCAAAAAAGAAACAGTAAGCTTTAATCTAAATGCTATTTACATTATGGTTCTAAAAAAATGACTGGAAATAGTTTTGGGAAAAGATTTTGCACTTCATACAGTTAAGCTTGATGAAAGCAAATCTGAAGGATGTAAGGGTAGGCATAATACTTTAGAAAGCTGTCAGGTCTTTGCAATTCCTTTCCAAAAGTCATTGCTAGGCAATGTCAGTACCAAATGCATGAATTCGTAAAACACAAGCCTAAGAAGTCCAGTAACATTCTCAGTGTTAAGCAAACTCCTTTCCCCTTAAAATTCAACTTACACTAACAATTTGTATTTTCAGTTGCCACTATGAACTCTAACAACAAGAAACCATTTTCTCAGTTATTGGTCAACCTTATTTTTGCTACCTGTTCTGATATAACTTGAACCAGGTTGCCTGTGAAAACAAAATTTGGATTTCTTGCCTAAATGTCTGATGACACAAGTGATGAATTGTGTTATGTCTGTGGAAGGAATATTCTACATTTTGATCCCTCAATAAAGCCCCCAACTGAACCACAAACCAGGTTTTTATACATACAAATACACTGACTGATGTGATAAATGAGACTGTATCTACAGAAAACAAAGACTCATCACACGTCTCTTGCAGATTTTTAGTCTCCTGACGAAAGAGAAAAAATGCTTTAAACACTGAGTAGAAGACAAAGAGTGTACTCTACTACCATGAGGCTTAATTTGCTAACTGATTATAACTTTTAGTAACAATCTGATGAACAATTTCCAAGTGCGTTAATTAAATAAAACATTAAAATAATTGTATTACTGTTAAAAATCTCAGCAACACCAAAAAACCCACCTACCTACCACCAAAAAACCTTCCACCCACCAAACTAAATTTCCACCCCCTCTAACAGTGCCGTTTCTCAAAGCTCACATCCAGGAAAACCCGTAAGTAAGGGCAAGAATTAAAATACATCTGAAATCAGAAGCAAAATAGGTTGGAAACATGTTTTAAAATTTAATGGGGGTGAGGGGTGTGTGGGGGTGTGTTTGCTTTAATCTGTTTCTATCCTTTCCACTAAGCACATTTCAGAAATAGGTGCTTCAACTGGGAGACACACATCCCCCTGGCACTCAGCGTATTTTGGGGTGCGGTGTGAAGGGCCCCCGGCGGCCGGTGCTCCCCCCCCCGCCCCGTGCTCGCCCCCTCCCCGGCCCCACCGACCAGGCGGTACCTCGGGGTGGGGGGAACCGGGGCCGGGGAGGGGGGGATGCGCCTTTCTCCCTCCGTGGGAGCGGCTCCCGCAGCCCTGGGGCCGGGGATAGAGGGGCCGCCCGTCCCCTCCGCGGGGCCCGGTCAGCCTTGGCGCAGGGCCGCTAACGCGGGCGCGCCTCCTACGCGCCTTCGGCTCGGCGGCGTTTGTACTTCCTCGCGGCTCCCGTGGCCTCCCCGTGCCCCCCACCCCCCCCCCTCCCCACGACACCCACGACGGAGATGGAAGGGATGCGAGCAGCGCCTCCCACCTCGCTCTGACGGCCCGCTTTCGGGGCGGTGTGAAGGCCCTCCGCACCCGCGCAGCGCCCTGAGGCGGCCGCCTCCGCGCAGCGCCCGGGGCTCCCGCCCGGCCCCGGCTCCGCCTGCTGCGCCCGGGGCGGCCTCCGCCTCCCAGGGCACTAATTAGCTCTAAACGATGTTAAATACTATCCCTGCCGCTGCACCGGCTTCTCTGGGAGTAGGGTTTTTTGTTGTTGTGGATTTTTTTTTTTTTGTTTTGTTTTGTTTGTTTGTTTGTTTTTTTACGGGAGAGGCGCTTCTCCGGCATTTAAGATCGCTGTCTCCTGGGCTCGGAGCCCCTGGGTGCTGGGAGAGGCGCTGACCCGCAGGACACCAAAAGCGTCCCTCAGTGTCGTCCTACCCCCCCACCCCCCCACCCCCCCACCCCCCGGCCCTGCCCGCGGCCGCTGGCACCGCGGCCGCTGGAGCAAGTTCAGTTTTCCTTCTCCCACAGCACTGGGGCTTGGCTGCCCTTAAAGAAAATCCTCTCCTAACAACGTGTCAATGTTACATTCCTCCACAAAGCAACTTCTATTAGGGGGGCTGGGAGCTTGGCACTGCCTCGCCACAGACTGGGAGCTTTGTGGCTATGCAGAAAACAAGGAGAGAGGCAACATTTCCTGCATTAAAATGCAATACCCTGGGCTCAATGATTTATCCGTTGCCGCATGGGCACATCCCCCCTCTCCCTCCATTCCCCCAAGGCTGCTCTGAAGGACCCTCTCGCCCACAGGTTGCAGCCAGAGCCCCCCCATCTATGTTCAGCCCATGCTTTCCCTGCCTCTCACCCCCCCAAGTTTCCTTCCCAAAATCACACTCCCCTCCCCCCCTCCCCCAACCTCCTCAAAATGTCAGAAGGACAAAACAGGAGGTAGGAAGCCATGCTAATTGCTGGACCCCCTGTCTTCTCACCCTTCTACAACCCCCCATTTTTTTTTCCATCAGGGACACGAAGCAGCTGCTGGGACTGATACAACAACCCCCATCTTATTAATACTGCTATGAGATTTGAAGCCTTCATCTCCTGGAGCCGAGGCCACCTGGAGAAGGGGTGCAGCAGCAGTCAGTGGCCCCTTTGCAGAGCTGCCAGCAGGTCAAAACAGCCATGTATTGTCTCTGCGCAGTGCCTCACATCTCTAGGCATCTCAGGCAGAGGGCTCTGCAGAACGAAATTTGCTCTTGGTTTGGTTTTAGGTTGTTTAGGTCTGGCCCAGTTGGGACCAGGTGTCCTGAGCATGGTAAATCTCTTTTGGTCAGGTTGCCTGCGTAACTTTGGAAACACTTCCCTTGCAAAGTCAAGGGATCATGTCAAGAGGGCCAAGATTCTGTAGTCGGGTGGTTGCAGGAAAGGGGTGGTGAGGGGGAGAGTGATTCCTGGCTTGCCACCTGTGGGCATTACTGTAAGTGGGGGCTGAAAACAGATGGAGCCTACTTAGGAGGAGTTTCAACAGTGCTCAGCAGAACTATATGCTGAAGGTTAGGGCAATTTAGAAATGAAAATGCAGCTCTCCCTTCCCTGAGGGAGTGTGCATCTTTTCCAGCCCTTTCGCCTCGTCTAGAGGTAAGCTGGAGGGGAGAGCAAGTCAAATGAACGTATCGAGGAGAGACAGCAGCAGGACCTACACACCGATGTGGCATTCAGCCCCCGCTCCAAGAAGCACCTACCTTCTTTTGGTGGCCGTTTGGCTTCTCTGGTGAGGTTGCAGACCTGGGTGGTTTGCAGCTCCTGGGTCAGGCAGCCCTCCGTCTGCTCGTTGAGGGGCAGCACCACGTTATTGAGCAACACCAGGGACTGGTCGTCTATTCCCCATTCTCCCAAATGCTGAGGGCAGGTGCATTTTGTATACATGATCCCACAGGACTCGGTTCTCCCGTTCTCAGATTTCAAGCAGCTCTCCAACCAAGTGCATAACACATGGCACCCAAACTGGCTTGGGCTCACCTTGTTCAACACCAAAAACTCAAAGAAGGATTTTTGGTCTTCTTCTTTTTTGTGTAATCCTGGGAAATCGATTGGATAGACACGGCGTATCTGAATAAAATTCTTATCATACTGCAGAAATACAAAAGCATTCTTGGAATCGCAGAGCTGCATTATAGAATGGTTATTTTTTAAAAGATCCTTTATTTTTTCATGGGAAAAATGATCAAACTGATAAGCCAAGAGGGAGAAGTTGGAGCAGCTGAAGTCCTTTTTGGAAAATTTCAGGTAAATACTATATTTGGTCGGATCTGGATTTTCCAGCGTCCAAGTGCAGTTTGTGAAGTTTTTAGGAAACATTTCACTTACAGAATACGATCCATAAATGACCCCCTTCACCAACGTGGAACACCAGAAGTCTTGGGCAGCATTAAATCCAAACATAACCAGCAGATAGGTGGAAAATATATAAATCAGCAAATTACGAACAGCCTTCATCCTATGTCATTTGGCCTGCAGGAGATGAAATGAAATAAAAATGCAAGTAGAATTCTTCACGCATTGAAAAACCGAACTCCTTCCAATATTCGAGCCAGCTGTTTTCAAGCTTGCAGTTAGAGCCCCTTTCAGAAAGAAGGGCAGGTAATTTTTATTTTATAACGCAAGGGCCGGGTTTGGTGCTGTGTGCACAGCGCCATCACGTGGCCACCGCAACCGCCAACCGCTACAGCCAAATTAAAACCCAGCTATTAGATTATTAATAGGAATGTCCTCTCCTGTCTCGGATGCAGTCATCATGGCGTGGACTAGAAGTGCTCAACTTTTAGGCGAAAACCTAGACGCCTTACCTGACAGACCAAGAAAATCGCACTTTATTTATTTATTTCTTCAAAAAGTAAATAAGTAGTCTGCTATACTCGTATATGTGCATATACAATATGCACATGCAGGATTTTACCGGAATAGAACGAGAAAGCTGGTAGCATCTGTTGTTATATATTATTTTTCTATTAAGTCTGAGAAGCAACTGTGAAGAACTTCAGCCATCATTTAAAAACATACAAATTATTAATTGTTACAGATGGAACATTATCTCATATATGACTGCATGCCTTCGCCCTGGCCACCCAGTATAGAGAGGTCTCTATAAAAAGGAAACCCAGTCAGGAAATACTGAGATTAATGTATTAATAAAATGATGAGACTGCTGGAGAAAGAAACAAAGACAGACAGATGAAACTAGTGCTGGTCTGACACTACCACTAAATGCCAGCTTTCTAAGATAATAATTTCAGTCTGCTACAACCTCTTAGGGTATATAAAATGGATCACTGTACTAGTATCTACAACCAGTATCTCTACATAGATGCCAGTGTTACAGCAGGATCTCTGCACCTATTGGACTGCACTTGCCCTCTTATTACAAGTATCTCGTACTGACTGATCAGCTGTGTTTTGCAGATGTGCGCTTGAATGATGAAAGGCATACTACATTTTCTCTGCCCGTATCTCCAAATAAAGCTGTTTTACTGCACCTGTCAACCGTTACAGCCTCCACATGCTCTGTTCTCTTACCACTGGCCTAGGTTAATAAAGCGAACCTTAGTTATATTTACCTCCGTAACGTTATCCAGAAAATTCAAACTGAACGTTTTCAGCATTAACCTTTGAGAAGATGTTTGTCTCTTACAAATGAGTAGCTTTTTGCCTTCTGCTGTCAAATGCAAGCAGACAGCAGTGATGCCAAGCTAATTTCAAAACTCTCTAGATTGCAGTCTCTTCCACTGTTGCTCTGTAAGCAGAGGCAGACATACACACACAGGCACCGTTACTGAGTTTTGATGTGTGGCTCTGCCTAGCTTTTCATCTCCTCACCAAACAGCAAAGCATCTTCTGTCTCCCATTGCGTAACACACAGCAAATCACCAGATTAAGCTCCCTTGAAGAGATTTTCGTATCTCCTAGATTATAATTCAAACTCAGACTCTTGAAATGGGCAAAGCATCACCAACTCTAATGCTCTTTATAGTGGATGTTAAAAAAAAAAAAAAAAAAAAAAAAGGCAGATCTTCTGCTGGGTCTATCCACACAGTCGTATTTTCTCCTTTCTAAGCGTCCATCTCAATAAATAGCACAGTCCTCCTTCTTCACATAGGGTTGTTACAGCACTTAAGATTTTAAAAAAGATAAACTTATTGGGAATTCTGGAAACAATTTCCCGTTTGCTGAAGCACTTTGCAGGCAATGCAGTTCTGCGCAGTGTTATTCAGGATGGTGTAGGCGTTGAAAGCCAATGTGACAATAAGTGTCTAAATTAGAAATTCCACCCATGAAAAAGGATTAATTTTACAATCTGGAAAGCAAAAAGGGGGTTTATTTGCTTTTCTGTTTGAAAAGGAAAAAAACCTCTGACTTTTCCCATCCTATGTAATATTTGCACTAGAAAAATAAAGACGTCTGCAGTGCTAAGCTGTTTTCCGTGAAGAAATGTAATCAAATAGCCCTTATTTTAGTTGTGCGTTTGTTCATGCAAGTCTACTGAAACACAACATTGTCTTAATCCCTCTCTCCCTCTGTGCACTGCACACACACGAATTGTGTGTGCCGGCAGCATTTCAGTTAGTTTGCAGTATTGCTAAATATAAGAATGAATCTGCTCACTGAAACGATTAGGCACTCAGATTAAAAAGATCTTTCTTTTCCATGGAGGAGGGAGTTAAAGAACAGCCACAGAGGTTTAAGGTTGCCCATTTGGGAAGGGGGAGAATCCTCTTCTGCTGAAAAGCAAACGGGCGTTTAGTTTGGATATTCCCCAAACTGATTTTCTAGGTGACACTGTAGTTTAGCCGAACATAGACGGCGCCATCACTCCACTTATTTTTTTTTTCCCCCAACAGAAGACCCACTGACTTCTCTTATTTTAACTTCCTATTAACCTAACATCCCCTCCACCCCCCTCCAAAATTACCCCAATCGTGCACAAACCTCAGGTTTTCTCGGTCTCGCTGGCAGCTGCTCTCAGGGAAGAAGACCTGTCGCAAAACGGACTTCTCTAACTTTTAAACTGCAGCGCTGAAGTAAATGCAGAGATCATTTTGTATGTGCTGTCTCTCTCTCTATCCTTCAGCAACAGCCTGTCCCCCTCCTCCGCCGCCTCCTCCCCGGAATCCCAAGCTAAAAGCTCTCCAGTCGTAATCCCTGGAAATGGGAAATGGAAATGCCCCGGGCACCCTTACCTTCCACTCCGAAAGCTGTCAGGCTATTTCTCTAAACCACTAGCACCACAGGCACACGTCCCAACAACAGTGATGGAGAGATTCCCCTTCTGTCGGAAGCACCGTTTCCCATTTTCCCCGGCTCAGGTTCAAAACCAAGATTTAAAAAAGCAGCAGAAGATAAAAAATGCAGCGAGAAAACCCCCGCACGACACACACACACCCCACCGAGGAAAAAAAGCAGCTTTGGCTCCGGATCCACCAAATCCAACCACATGAAGGGAAAGAAAAGGAAAAAAACCACCTCAAACCAGCGAGAGACTGCAGGGAAAAAAAAAAAAAATGGAAGTGGCTGAGCAAGCGAAGGTTATTTTTGTTGTTTTTTGTTGTTTGTTTTTTTGTTCTTTTTTTTGTTTTTTTTTTTTGTTTTTTTGTTTTTGTTTTTTTACTTGAAACAAAGTCTCAGCACAGCAGCCCGAAGAGCGGCGATGCCAGGCAGGCGACGGTCTGAGAGGAGGACTAAGGCGCTAGTGCAGATTTGTTGGTGGGTTTTGTTGTTGTTGTTCTTACTAATAGACTTATTCCTCTTTCCGCCCTCCTCCTCCTCCTCCTCCTCCTCCTCCTCCTCCTCCTCCTCCTCCTCCTCCTCCCCCCCCAGGCACTAATGGCCGGACAGCGGCGGGGGGGTCCTTGGCTGCCGATGCCGGGGAGCGGTGCGGTCGCCGGGCGCGCAGGGAGTACGGCGGGAGCGAGAGCGCGTCTCTGCCGCTGCGTGTGCGTGTGCGCGCGTGTGACAGCCAGCCTCCGTGGGCGCCGCTCTCTGAGTGCGCGCCTGTGCGCGCCCCCCACAGCCCCCCCCCCCCTTCCCCTCCCCCTGCGCGCCCCTCCGCCGCCCGCTGGGCGCGGAGCGGGGGGGGGTGGGGGGGTGGGGTTTCAGCTGGGTGGGGGGGTGGCTGCGCGCACCGCTCCGCGCGGGTGCGCGCGTGCGTGCGAGGCGCTCCGCCCGCCCCCGGCAGCGGGGCCCGCGGTGCGGTGCGCGCGTCGCGGCGGTTCGGCACCCAGCGCGCCCCGCAAAACGCTGTTTTCTGACGCCGGGGCGGGGGCGGGGGGTGTGTGTGTGTGTTTCTGGCCTCGGTTCCCGGCGCTGGGGGCCGGCTGCGGCCCGGCGAAAGAGAAACTCGCGGGCGGGGAGCGGGGACGGCGGGGAGGTGGGGTGGGGGGGACACGGGCGGGGGAAGCCCGCACTTGATCTCCTTCCTCTTTCTGCTCGAGCATAACACCCTCCCGCCCCCTCCCCCCCCTCCCCCCCCCCCCCCCCCCCGCCCGCCTTCTCCCCCGTCGCAGCCCCGAGAGCTGTCAGTGCGGCCCCGCGATGCAGATTATCTGATACAGGGCTCGGAGGATAAACCCTTTCAAACTGCCGCCTGCCTTGGGCTGGAAACAATAGCAATTTCCTCGGCGAGGCTGCAATTAACGCCGCATTTGTTCCGTGCCAGGGATAAGGCTGCGCCCGGACCGCTGCCGCGTCCATTCCCCGCCGCGGGCCCACCCGCGGGGAGGGGGGGGGGGAGCCGGTGGGTGCGGGGGGGGGTGCCCGGTGGGGGGTGCCGGGCCGGGGGGGACGCGCTGTCCCCGGCAGCCGGACTGCAGGCGGAGTTAGCGGGGCGACAGCGGCTAAAGTGGCACCGGTAGCGGCAGGTGGGGCCCGAAAGGCGGGGGGGGGGGGGGTTGGCAGAAAAAGCCTTGCCACAAGGAAGGCAGACTCCCTCCCTCCCCCACTCCCCCCCCTTTTTTTTTTTTTTTTTTTTTTTTTTTTAAGATATTTTAGTACAGCTAGGTAGGGTTGGATGTGCATTTTCTTCCTCCCCTCCGGCTGTGCTCCCCAGGGTGGGTCGGGTTGTCCTCTGGTCCTTCCCGCTGGCGTGAGAGATCGGGGCAGTCGACGCGACAGCAGATACCCGGCGTGAAAATTAGGAGATGGCATTTTAATAAATACTGCTGTCAGTCAGCAGCTCGCAGTCTGACTGCTGCGCGCTCCCCCCGCTGCCGTTCAGCGGTGAGAACAAAGCCCTGCCGAGACTGTGTGCTCCGGCTCCCTCTTAACAGCCCCTCTGCGCCTTCAAAGTTCACGTGAAACAGGACTGCGTGGATATGAACACGCCCTCCCACCCACCTCCGGCAAAACGAAAGTTTAAACTTCTGGACAGCGTCCAAACCATTCAGTCCTTAAACAGTTTTCGGCCCTACACACCCACCCTAGCCCCTGCAAGATCTGAATTCAGGTAATACAGAGCTTTTATGATTACAATTACACGCCGCACAAATTCTGATCAGAGGTATTACTGGTCACAAGCCACTTCTGACCAAAGTAAACGAAAGCATGGTTATAGCTTTTTACTGTATTTTCCATAGGTACAAGCTGTAAACCACATCCCTGCTAGCTCTTACAAGCATAAATACTTTATGCCCCTGTTGTTGAAATAAAACAAAAAATATCTACCCTGAGCAAGGAAGATGTGACAGATGTGCATGATCTACACCCAGAAAATACAATACAATGAAAACTGAACTGCTACTGTCTTAGAGATAATCATGTTCTCTCACATTCGGAGACACTCCATACTATCTATGGGTGATCATCATGTTGCTTGAAATATTTCAAGGGAAGTTCAGTTCATTGAGAGATTGATATGAGCAGAATAAATCAACAGTGTGGACACAATGCAGCATTTAAATACCTTTTTCACCCCCTTGATATTAAATGAAAAACTCGAGGGTAAGTCACAGAAAGAACATCCTAAATGAATGCTTTCACCTCTTTTCCTATGACATTGACAAGTTGTGGCTCCTTTAGTTGTCATTAAAAATGATTAGTAAATACACGGTGTATGGTAAGCCATTGTCTTTACTAATCTCCTAGGTATCCCAAAGCAGTGATTAACTTCCATTCTTCAGTTTTGAGAAGACAAGGCAATGCTGGAGAGGAATCTGGGAGGGAAGACTCCTTGGCCTCTTGTCTACAAACTGAAGAAAAGGATGGAAGTTGCACAAGTCATACTTAGGTTAACTATGGGAGCTGAAGAACAGAGGAATGGGATGGTGGCACTGAACACCCTACAGATCTTTGTTCAAGATCTGTTGCAATTAATCTTGAACAATGCAGGTTTTAATTACTGGAACGAACTCTAAAACAAGCTATACCATTTGTAAGTACAAAAATATCCATGATCCACTTGTAGGTGCTTTTCTACTTGAACTGAGGCCAACTTTAGAAATAATCTGTTTGGTAGCTGTCATGCAGCTGCATTTGATATAAAACCTGAAATTTTGATAGTCTAGAAGTGAGAGTCAGGATATGTTTAAGTCTACAAAATATAAATAAATAGAAATGTAACATTATACGTGTTTAAATTGGGCATGCAGATAATTTGTGTTTGGAATGGTTCTATTTTGTATGTACATGTAGTGCTAAACTACAGTCTGAAGGGCAGATGTAAAGTGAACCTACACACATCATTTGGAAATATTAAATAGATGCAACTTGTCTGAGTACCTCTGTTAAAACCTAGGAATAAGGTATTAATACAATCCCACACTGTTTCACGGGAAGGCTGTCAGAACTGCATGGCACATGTGGTGCCATCTGTACTACAAAGAAAGTATCGAGGCACTGAAAGAAGTGTTATGTCGCTCAGTAGTAGTGTGGTAGGGATAGGCACAACATAGTCAATGCTAAATTTATAGTGCTGCTTTCTAGACTCAATGTGATTGTTTCAGCAAGGTTGGGCTTCATCCAAACTAGGAAAGAGGGAGGAGAGCAATATTTTTAAGTAATTTCTGTATTAGTGAGAAAAATTAGACTTACCCAATTTAATATGTTGGATGGAATAAATTAGTGGCTTTGTTTAGTAACTTTTTTTTCCCTTTCCAATCTACAGTAGCACTTTGAGATCTTTGATCTCTTGGTCACAGCAGCTAGATGATTTCAGCCCAGGTTTTAGTGAACACAGCACAAAATTCAACACAACTGTAATTGGAATTATAATTCACTGTCAATTTTGGTACAAATTTTGAAAGGGAGGACACAATATAAAGCAACTGGCTTTGGAGAATGGACTGTTCTCTCACTCAAACTCCTGTCACCCTTAGGGGGACTCTTTTCAAGTCAAGGTCACTGTTGCAGCCTGCAGTGTCACTCTGAGCAAATAAAAGACAGTCTACCTCCAACACTGAAGGCACGCATTAAAAAAAAAAATCATAAAAAGATTTTTTAACAAATGGCTTCATACTTTATTCTTAATTTTTTATTATTATCGTAATGTTTAACTGACTGCAGAGTTACAGACACTTAGATATGTCACCTTATTAAGCGCAGTAATGGAAACTGTGGTTACAGAGTCAACTTACAGGTAAGAGGCAAGTGGTATTTTTACTGAGTCTCTTAGGTCACATAGAAGTAACACTGGTCTGTTCCTTACATCCAGCTTTATTCAGACATGCAAGGCCCTTCAAAATCCCCTTTGGCAAGCGTGGAATTTTTAGTCTGCATCACAGCTTTTACTGCATGACACCAAATTTCTTTAAGAACATTATTTCCTTGCTAATGTTATTTAATTTAGTCTGAAGCGAAGAAATAAAATGAAAGATGCTGACCATATTACAGCTCTTATAAAATTAAACAAATATTAAATCTGAAAAGAAGAAAAATCTTTCCTTGCTCTAACAGGTTGACAGTGAGTGTAAATTGTAAATACTTTCATTGACTTGTATACGTTTTCTGGTCCAGTACATTACAAACCAGTAAGAAATGTTGTATTTCTGTACTCTGTTCAGATTCTAGGTGAATTTCAGCATTATTCATTTTCTCTCTGTCATCAAGAGGAAATATGAATTTAATAAATAGTAGATTATATCATGCCTTCTCAATTTTAGATATATTTTGAAAGATTATATGATTATATTTGAATTTTATTAGAGAACTGATTTGTATTTTCATAAATAGTTAATTAATAATGCAGCACCAGTAGATGGTGCTCAAGAATATATAGCATAACTGAGGGGGGATTTAAAAGTTCTATTTTAAAATTGAAAAATTTCAGGGGAAGTGTTGGTTTTCTTTTGAGAAGTTGATTTTTCATCAGAAAACAATGAATCCTTCCAAATTTCAAGGAAATCTTTAGTTGGCTGACAATTGTCAAGTTGAAATGGTCAGTGATTTGCTTGCTTGTTTGTTTGTTTTCATTCTCTGTATGGATTCTTCAGTGAAGGTTTTCACAAGATCTTTTAAATTCATCTGCTGACTTTACCTATTTTGATGTTGTTATTCAGTCACAAATATTGGTCTAGAAAC